AGATAATAATAATAATAATAATATTCCACAACTATCACACAACGCCATCTAGTCCCAAGCTAAGCAGAGCTTGTGTTATGGGTACTAGACAACTGATAAACATACTTATATATTTCTAAATACATAAATATTATAGATAAATTACACCCAGACACAGGACAAATGACCGTACTAATCACACAAACATTTGTCCTGGGTGGGAATCGAACCCACGACCTCCGGCATAGCAGTCAGAGTCACTAACCACTAAACCAACAGGCCTGTCAAGATACCATAAGTTTATACTGTGTAGATCGGAACAAAAGTAAAATTTTTATCTATGGTAACCGCTGTTAACTATGACATTTGGTCGTTGAACATCTCAGTCCTCCCCGTGACCATGGGTGCTGTAAAGCGCTCGAAACGTTGGGTATTTATAGTTAAATATACGAGATAAAATCCGTAAAAACTAGTATTATTTCGGTGTTCGGATTTTTGCGAAACTAACGGACAACAATTTATTTTATATTTAGAGATATTTATTAGCTGATAATTATTAATATAACTACAGCCGTTCACAAAGCACGGTCTTGAGCCACCTGCATCCATCGACCTTCTGCATGCCTTACGTCGTCACTCTATGTAGTGGAGGTCCGCCCTACATTTTACTTACCGGCACGAGGCTGCCACTCGGGACACTTTCTTCCCCATCGGTTGTCGGTTCTACGAGCTATATGGCCGGCCCATTGCTACTTCAGCTTACAGATTCGTTACTCTGATGATACTGTGGTTATTCTCTTCTCTTTTTTTAAGACTATCACGTAAGAAAACTTAGCGCATAGATTCGCTCGCTAGAGCTCACTGAGCGAGCTTTAGCTTCCTCATCTGCGAGTTAGCTGCGAAGGACCACGTCTAAATTAAATATAAAGAAGAATGAAATTATTCACAAGCAAATCTCTTTTGAAAGATTTGTAGCGTTTGTAAAATATATTAACAATGATTACATATTTTTATCCTATACCTTTAAACGAGCAATTCTTGTATATATATAAATATATATATATATATATATATATATATATATATATATATATATATATATATAATCGGAATCTCGGAAACGGCTCCAACGATTTTCATAAAATTTAGTGTCCAGGGAGTTTCGGGGGGCTATAAATCGATCTAGCTAGGATTTATTTTTAGAAAATGTCTTTTTGTCCGTGTTTTCAGGCAATGAAAAACTGCTATAATATAAGAAGGTAAATTTTGACACAGTGTCGATGATTGTAATAGCTCAAGTGGATATCGAGCGGTTGCGAAATCGTAATGACTTGGTTCGCGTCCAGTCTTCGTTCCGATTTTTTTCCTTTTTTTTCAAGTTCCCTTCTTTTGTGAGAAAATGTATTATTTCGAGCCCTTTTTTAGTATTTTATAAAAATATGAAAATTTTAATTAAACTAATTGCACTCATGATTTTTTATTCAAATAACCAGTTCAATTTATTCTATTATGTCAATAAGATCAAAAAATATTATTCATCAGTATGTAATTTGTATCTCAATGTAATTTCAAAAAAAAAACCGAGCAAAGCTCGGTCATCCGGGTATTTATTTTAAAACAGGAAGGGTCGCGGTGTGTGAACACATGAAGTCATCAATGTCTTTATAATACTAGTATCGAATTGTGGGAACTCGTATCAAAATTTATTCTTTGCCGAACATACGTTTAATAAGTAATAAAGTCACGCTGTAGCTGAATTGTGACTGCAACATGAGTGATTCAAGGCTTACTGCGATGATCTTCGTCGTTGTAGAGTAGGCACACGCTCCACATAACACCACTCTAAAATAGCTATATAATGTTATTATGTTTCGTTCGGTTAGTGACAAGAACCAGACTCTTTTGGTGACTGAAAATGGGCGACTTCTGCGCGCTCGATTGACCGTTATTCGCAGTTCGCGATTGCATCCTTTTGATACCTAAAAGCTATCAAGAATCGTCAATATTTTTTTAACAATATAAGTGGGCTTTTGAATCTCGCCATCACGCATCGCTAATCTATTCGAGGCTTTGCTTCTCAGGATATATTACAGGATAGGATTTTCAAATAAATAAATTTCATAATATTTTACTATTATGTAATTATTTTCCGTTTAATATACATATTCTAAAATATTTTATCGTATTTTTCGCTCATAAGTCTATTGAGAATTTTGGCGCATTTAAAAAGAAAGAAAACACCTGACATTTTGTAATTATTTCTTTTGATAGTCAGTTTTATAAAGAAAAATAAAAAATAAATCTCTAATTACTAAACCCAAAACTGCTCGTAAATTTAGGCTTTAAAATGATTTTGTTCAGGAAACACAATTAAGTATAATTAACTGGCCTGATTGTCTAAAAGTTTGTGCTTTTTTGCGGTTTCCAAAAAGTGCAGTGTTTGAAAAATACTACTTAATAATAAGTAGGTAGTAATACTTTTAAGTAAATACTTGATAACTGACTGATTACAGGAAAGAAACGAACAATTTTTTTTTGTAGAATTAGGTTTCCAAACATGCACACAGTCCACCTGATAGTAGTTGGATGCTGCCCATAGACATCTGATTTCATCTTCGATTAAAAATCAAAATACAGATGCATTGCCAAGTGTCCAGTAAAAAGGGTTTCCGGTTCTCGACATGCACACCATACGAAAATAGCATCATTAAACTGCTATTTTACGCTGGTATTCTGTAGCTAATAGATTTCCAAATTATCCATGACAACGAGGTTCTCCTACAGAGACAGTATCAGAAACTAAAAGCGTAGCGAGTTCAACGGCTGCCCGCATAGTGTAGAATCTAGATTTATGAGGACTTGTAGTAAATCAACGCAATCTTCTTCGAAATTAACTCCATTGCATCGATATTATTAGGTATCACCTCATAAACGATTTAATCGTTAAAATTTACTTAATACACATAGGTACTCGTAATTGGCAGTGGACCGGCCATATAGCTCGAAGAACCGATAACCGATGGGGAAAAAAGTTGTCTCGAGTGGCAGCCTCGTAACGTGCTTTGTGGCGTTACTTGGGGGAGGCCTATGTGCAGCAGTGGACTTGTGAAAGGCTGTAATGATGATGACATAGGTACTCGTATATTGAAACTCTTGGCAGCTTTGGGTAAGCTTAAGTGATTTAATTTTACGGACTATGTCTATGTTGTGCTCTCTATGGCTTCAGTACTAATTAAAAAAATCAGAGTTTTATTTTTGTAACTTGAAATCTAAAATTATTATACTTAATTGATGTTTGAACATTTCGATCAATATTCTGAAAACAAGTGTTCCCTGCGCGTATGGGGCCAAAGTCAATAGGTTTTTGCCTCTACAAAGGACTTTTTTAAGCATTAAGAAATCTACGCCATTGCTTCCACAAGGCCTGACCTTGTGAGAAGAGACTGTAATATTGATATTATATGCTCGTAGTGACGGTGATTTATATCCTCATCAAGAGTTGCCATCGCTAAGATTAGTTTTTGATCACTGGTTGCAATTTATGCCTCCGAAACAGTAGAAATTCCACTTGTGGGTGTAGTTTTTATTATACTTTAAGTATCTTAAAAAACTTTACCCCCACTTCGGCGCAACGCTTTTAAACACATTTTATACTTTTTTAACTTTTAAATATTTTTTTACTTATTACCGCTATTTGAGTTAGAAACAAACGATCCTGCGACAATACTTAGTCGGGTCTTAAGTTCTGTCAATACCTTATTATTTAAAAAATTTAAATACTGGCTTGATGAACTTCACCAATTTTAAAAATTTAAGGTTTGCGCCGAAAATAAAAAAACATTAATTTTCATACATTTTAAAATATGCGATATCCGCCATATATTATATTTTAAAATATAATATATGGCGGTTATCGAGTTGCACCGGTGTGGTAACGTGCCTAAAGAGATTTTCAATATTCTACAAAAATTTAAAATAACTCTACGATTTGTTTATTGCACTATCAAACGATTCACTGAAGATTCAAGCTTCGAATATTGTAAAAGGACCGACCGACCTCGTACACCCGCAATCATCAAAGCAGTGAAGGCGCGAATCCAACGAAATCCTGTTCGTAAACAAAAAATCTTAGCTCTTCCGATTTTCCTAAGCGGAACCACGGTCAAAAGAGTGATCAATGAATACCTAGGACTTTTTATATCTGTAGCCTTCTTAGTTCGAAGTTGGTGCAAGTGTCAAAGGAATGCGGTAGCCACTTACCATCTGATGGACTTTAAGTTCGTTTGTCAGTTTAGTTTTATAAAAAAAAGATGGCAGAATACATGGGTGTACACATTAAATGAAAAGTATTGATTTTATCGTGTTTTATTATAACTTTTTAATTCCCGATATTTTGGGGACTGTAAAATTAGTTTAACTTAAAAGTCGGTAGATTTTATCTAATTTAGAACATTATTCCGCACCATAACTTGAATATATCCCTAGGGCCACTTAAGCACTAGTACTCTATATAGGTGCGACAGCTAAAAAGTTTGCTAAAGTAAATGTGGTTACTGTAAAAATTAATAATATTGAAGTGACTTGCACATACATTTCACATACTGACCTAATAACGAAAATACACCGTCTATAGCATTGCACACAAAAGGTTTTATCGACGTTAGTGATCAGCCCTTACTTCGCTATCAATAAAATAGAAAACGCATATAACATGACTATATTTTTCAAACGAGTGAGAGAGAAAAACATAGTTTGTAAAGATAGTTTGTAAAATGTTGTCAACTGACTTGCAATTTCATTAAGTTTGTGTCTGGAAAATTAATATTGAAGTCAGTTTTCCTTTAGATTGTGTGAACTACGAACGTAAAAGTATTTAAGTTTTTTATGTGTATTGCTATTAAATACTGTATTGTATTCTCTTATAATATACATTACTTCTTCAAGAGTATGTCTGATTACATAAGAATGGAAAATTAATAAAGTGTCAAAAGACAACTGATTTGGAATAAACAAACGCTAAAATGGCTGATTCTGTTAAAAGGATTCTTGCACCTCGATCCAGAGCACCACTTGATCAAACTGGAGTTAGACTTTGGGAGCTGCAAGAAGAGACCCAAGATACAGAATTGAATACGTTCATGCAAAAAGACATTCCTGAAAAAAAAGTAATTGAAATAAATGCAACAAAAACATATCAAGACAAATCAACAAGTACAGACATAAAAAATGCAGCAATTGAATTATCATTTGCTGAAAGCGCTTTTGAGATTGATAAACAAAAAGGTCCAAAATTTACAGTTCTTAAAAAATGGCGGGAACGTCAAGCAAAAGCTGAACACGAAAGAGCACGAAAAGTTGTTATTAATTCACTAAAAGAAAAATTTAGGGGCTTCCATCGCCAGGCAAATGTAGATGCTTTTGAGAATGGTAATAAAGATTACATTCATGAAAGTATTCCAGCGATTGTAATAACTGAGGATATCGAAGACACGTCAAATTTGAATGGAAATTGCGAACGTGGCGGGCAAGGGAATTTCGATCGTGAAATTGGTAGTTTTAATGTTTATAATAGTACAATGGTAAACGAGGTAGTCTGTCACGCAAGGAAACTTCAGATGGGGCCAGGTGGTGAGCTGGCACAGTGGAGGCTCGCTCCTCGCGGTAGTAAGGCGGCGGATTCGGAGGGTGCACTACGCGGGACTGTAAAAGAAGTTATGCCGGTAAGTTTTCTTAACTTACTTCCTTTCCTATTTCATTTCAACTCTTGTTAACTTAAAATAGGGTGCATAAAAGCATGTCCATTTAGGTACATTTGCCATTTTAAAACAGTTCATTACTTATTATTGTAAGACAATGTTAATATTTGACACCATTTGTAGCGTTTTTATTTTAATGAACATAAAAACAATTTATTGTACCCACACAAACACACACATGTTACTGTTATTGTTAACTCATAAAATGCAAATCTAATAGACTACCAATATTATCATGATGGTTAATAATAATATTATTTTAGTACAAAACACTGAAATGGCGGGCCTTGACAATGTGATGATGCTAGCGATCATACTAAATCATAACAACGAAATTTTGGTAACGTCCATCCATCTTCAGAATAAAGGCCTCCTCCATAAATGAATTCATAGCAGGGATTTTGCCATAGCTGCGATGCTTCGCAGGCTCGTTGGCAGCCGCTGTTTTTTATAATGTTCTGTTGTACTCAAGAAGATGCTGGTGCCCATCTCCTCTTTCAGTTTATCTCTTTCGCCTCTTACGGCACACAAGGAACGATATAGGGTAGTGAATATTCATACAACGCCACTGCACTGTACACTTAATACGTCAGCAAAATTTCGGATTTTTCAGAATTGTCAACAGTTCTAAATACTGGGTTAAAATTGAATTATAAAAAATTCCATTACATTCATACATTCATCACAGATATATGCAGGCCAAGCTAATAAAAGGTTCCGTGTCGTAAGTAGCGACAGAGTAAAACAAACCAGATGTGCAGCAATGTCTTCCTCATAACAATTTAAAAAAAAACTGCGGTTGTCAACCCATGTGCTAAGCGAGACAACTGTAGCAAATATAGATGTCCCTTATGAAGCAATCTATGGGGGAGGCCTATGTTCGTAGACTTTCGATAGGAACTGTAACTGAACTGTAACGAAAATAAATAAAAAAATTCTAATCTTTATTATTTAGACGTGGACTCACTGTAGTAACGATGGAAAATAGTTAAATAACAATGTAAACAAATAAACGTAACTTGTGTACGTACATAATATAAAAATAAACAGCTAAAGAAAATATTATTATCTTTGCGTCTTCCTCATTTCTCGGCTGTGTACTTGGATCTTCATAGTCCGTATCAGTCTCAATACAAAGTTCATTTAGTTATTAATGTTTTCGTACGCGATGTCAACTACGACTTATTTAAATAGTTATATAAATGGAGCGGACTACGAAAAACAACACGTTTAAAGCGGATAGTGTATTTTGTATTAGAGGCTTAAATAGTTTATCATCTATCCATCTCGCAGATTGTCTCATCCCTCGTAGGTTGCCTCATGGGCACTTGGCAAGTGGGTTGGCAACCGCAGTTTTTTATTATATTGAGTTGTTATCAGAAAGATGCTGCTGCCTGAAAGAGGGAAGACAGAGGGAAATTGAAACGGGAGATATCCCGTTTCAATTTCCCTCTGTCACCCCTTACGACATCCTCGGGACGATATGGCGTAGTGGATATTCTTACACCGCACCGTCACTACACGGTACATAAATATTTTATAGTAAAAAGTAAATTAAATATTTAATTAAAAATTAACTGAAGTGAAAATTTTAAATAAAATAAGCGATGTAGCATGTGTCAAACACTGATGTTCTTTTCGATACACGATTTAATTTCTTCCTCTGTCCATCTAAAATCTACGCTATAAAATCAGACAAATACACGTGTTACGTCCATCGTGCGTTTTACCATACAAAATTATAGCAACTCGTTTCATTAAATATAACAGGTTCACAGGTCTTTAAGTCTTCGATGTAGTATTTCTTAGCTACCGACTTCAAAAGCTACTATATGGAAATTATTTTATTCTCATTAGACCCGCGGTAGGCTTAGCGCTCAGCGTTTCTTGCAGTGTTTAGTGTTGATTTACCTCGTGCTCGGTGGGGAAGGGAAATATCGTGAGGAAACCTGAATGTCTGAGAAATTAAGAAATAAAAATTCGGAGACATGTGTAGTCCGCCATCACGCAACACACAAGCGTGGCGGACATTTTCTTGCCCTAAAACCTTCTCAGAAATGAGAACAGGCCTACGCCCAAGAGTTGGCCGAGGTAACTCAAATAGTTAGCGCAAAGTTCACAGTTTCAGCCCGGGTTCGATCCCCGCCGGCACCAATGAAATTGTTTACTGCAATATTAAATGCTGATTTACCACAAACAGTTAATATTGAAATTCGTTCGAAAAAAAAATCTCTGCAGTTTAAAAAACAAGCAAGAAATCAAGCGGGAATTTTTCCCCACAGTAACATTATACAAAATGAAATATGTTGAACAGTTACATATTTACAAAACTCATTTAGGAAACAACTTGGAAGCGATCACCTTATTCGCAGGGATATACACCGTGTGATCATTTATATTATAATAACCCTTTTATATAGTCCTTTATATAGTTGTTTAATTAAAAATACTTTATTACAAAGAGACCTCGTATATTTTCTGGGATTTTATTTTCATAGCGTTTCATTAATTTCCCAAAAACAAATTACTGTAAACATACAATGATACAAATTAGCTGGTATCACTAGATTTTTATTTTTGTAAAAAACATGTTTTCGTAAATATAATAAGTTATTAGAGATAAAATGTAAAACCGATTTATAATACTGCGTATGTATCGGGTCATTGAATTAGTGATTTTAATTATCTACTTAAATGAAAATTTTGAAGTCTAATAATTATAATTTTAGCCATATGGTTAAAACCTTGTAATGGTGGTGTAAAAATATGAATTACCCCATATCATCCCGAAAGGGTCGTATGAGGTGACAGAGTGAAACTAAAAAAGGAAATGGGCAGAAGTATCTAAGAACGCAAAATAATAAAATACTGCGGCTTGTCAAACCGCCCGCCAAGCGTGGCAAAAGTCGTCAATATGAGGCAATCTATGGGATAGTCATATTATGTTCAGCTTATATATTATGTTCTACTTTTATAGGCTCTTAATAATAATTAAAGTATGGAAAAAAGGCATCTTGAAAGCGAAAAGATAAATGCTCTTTATTCTCTCGGAACGCCAGTGGGAATTTCGATAAAAACCTTACTTATGCAGTTCCTTGTCTCCATTATAAATGGAACCTCTGTGCAAAACTTCATCTTTCTAGGTGCTAGGGTTTGTGCTGGGCGTTGATGAATCAGTGGGTGATTAGAGCGAGTGTCTGATTCGGGCCTTGACTTTATATATAATATGACTGGATGGTTTTTTTTCCTTCTGTAAAAAAAATAGGGTGTAACAGGTGATCGGAATAGAAGCCTATGACAACGATATATATATATATATATATATATATATATATATTGATGATTAGCTACTACTATATATACTAGCGCCTCAGGCTTGGAACTTCAACTTCCATGGCAAAGAACTGTCCGAAGTGCGGTCCCAATGGGTGTTGGCGGTCTTCACATAATCTCCAAATATTTTTTAATAATAATGTCCTACAGACTGAATTTCGGCCACGGCGGCCTGCCTCAACGGAGGCTAGCCATCGGCACAGGACAGGATTATAGTGCCTAAGTGCATGCGCAAGCACAGGTGCACCCTCTATTCCCTCACTCTCATAATCCGATGGGACGGTAAACTGACACGACCGGAGAGAGATCAGGCGCAGGACCAACGGCTTTACGTGCTTTCCGAGGCACGGGGGTGAGACACCGCCAACTTCCTGACTACGGGCAGCTACTGAGAATTTCTTGACAGAAAAACTCAATAATTGATTTTTTGGCCCGACCCGGGATTCGAACCCAGGACCTCATGATCAGAAGTCGCACTGTTACAACCACTAGACCGACGAGGCAGGCATTTTTTGCTGTTTTGTTTTTATAAATAAAATATTTTTATAAAACCAATAAGAGTGTGAATGAATCAAAACCTCACGATACGTATTATCATCGGCCGTGAATATCACATGGCACGGACTACGTGACGGAGGGTGCGTCAAATTAAAGTGCGTATTTTGACCCCAATTTATTAAGTATTCATTTGCTCGTTATAATTATATCTGTGTTAATTTTTTGTATATAATGTTAATTCTCTATTTGTTAGGTAAAAGGAAAAATAAACGGCACAATCATTTCATTCAAATGTTTTACTTACAATCATTTAAACATATAAAAATAATCAATAGTGTGTGTGTGTGTAGCGTAATGTTAAAAGATAATGCGAAACTAAAAAGTTGTGGGATCGAATTCACGAATCAGTAACTATCGTCAACCATTTCTAGCCATTTGATATGGCCATCTAATTTCTTTAACTAAAGTAAAAAAAAATCCTTATGAAAATGTCGTTCGTTATTCTCGTAAAATGTCGAAAATGGCTCGACCGTTTTGGTGTTTTTGGTGAAATGTTTTGTATATTTGGCCCTGGATGGTTTAGGTTCACAATTGGACCCGGTAGATGTATCCCCTATTGATTATACTTTTGTTGTAACTGAAATAGAAGATTGGTTGCAGTATCTTTGTGATAAAAGTTAAAATAACAAAAAAAATGCAGTCACCAACCACCCAGGAGTAATCTATGGGGTATAAGGGTTGGGTTCGGTAGTAGACTTTTATGGGCTGTAATGGATCTTGATCTTGAATCTGACGAGCATCCGGTTTGTATCCATAATTACTACAAAAATTGTCTATTTTATACTAATTGCAACATGAAAACAATGAAATCTTTTTTATTAGAAAGAAAGCCTACAGGCCAGAACAGATGAAATGAAAATGAAAACTATTTATTTTTCGTCGTTTCGACATTTCGCGTAACGAAGCGCCAGGCGACTGTTTGGTTATTTCAAAATGGGCCAACAGCTACCAAAGCAAAATGAAAGCTACAAGAAAATGAAGCGTAAGTAAGATTTTGATGGCTGGTTTATTTTTACTTTGACGGGGTATCTGGTGTCAATTCCTTTACGAAATCGTAGTAGCCAGAAATGTTCATTGTTGTAGCAACAAGCAACCGAACACGGAGCTCTGCGGGCTAATGCTTC